AAAAAAATATTGTGAAAAATAAAAGGTTAATTTTTGAACAAATTTAGTATTTTTTTTAAGAAAAATTATTATTTTTTAATATTGCCATATTTATCCTTATGCAAAAATATTATTTATCAGTATTAAAAGCATATTTATATTTAAAGGATTAGGTATTCACTTTTGTTGTTCAATGAATTGTGGAGCTTCAAAAATTATAAACCTTTTCCTATTATGTTATATTATTTTCTTTTAAAAGTTATAGTAAATTGTATAAAAGATATCAAATATTTACTGATACATGTAATTATTATGTGTACAATGGTTACACCTATAGAATTTTTACCTTTTACCTAAGTTCAAGGTTTTGGACACTTTAAGACAGTTTAGGACAGTTTTACCCAGTTTAGGACAGTTTTACCCACTTTAAGACAGTAAAACCCACGTGTCCTGTCCAAAACCAGTTTAGGACGCTCAAAACCCCAACCCTGTAAATAATATTTTATGAAATACGATTAAAAAATATCAATTTCTCATTTATGAAGAAAAAAATTGACCAAAATGTCTTCCATGTGCAATTTTTTCCTTCAGAAATTTCACTTTGTATAATTTTGTGCTTATATGTTGCCGCAATCATGCTTGCAAAATATAAGCACAAAAGGTTCATGTTTATTGTATTTCTAATTTGTATTAGCATTAAGTAAAATAGTTAAAACATGTCAGTTCATTCACTTACATAATGCTATTTTTACAGTTTAATTCCTTTCATTTCAGGTATGTGTTTACAGATTATACAAGCTTTCACTATGTTGGAATAATAATCGAAAATAAGATGTTTCCACTTCAAAGAATGTCGATGATAGTGGAATGTCCATTTAGTTGGTCCTGAAGAGAACACCAGCTTTAAGATGTCAGACATAGAAGGCGACTGATTTTTTTTCTTCTAAATATATGAAATGGAAAAAAATGGTATTATGACTAAAATAAGTTCATGTTTCCCCGAAAATTACGCTTTCAGTAGACACTCATTTAAAACCAATGACCCCAAAATGTGCAAAGATGATGTTAACCCCGCATTATTTTGCAGCGTACCAGACTCCATTGTTGATGATAATGCAATGGATGTACAAGAATGCTCCGTTAGAACAATCACCAATAAAACCGATAAAGGAAGCAAACCTGATTTCAGTTTCAATGATAAAACCTTCTTTTCTTTGATTCATGGAAAACAGGGCAATGAATTCCAAAATGCGATATTGCCATCTTGGAATAATAACTCCGGGTATTCGTTTTCACAAAATTCGCTAGTTAACAACAACAAAAGCATTTCGAGTAATTCTTTCCAAGTTTTAGAATCATTTTCCACTCCCCGCAATCCTAATCCCTGCGAATCAGCTTCGAATAGCGTTCTCAACACTGATTCACCTCTTAGTTTTGTAATTGACGACGATGAGAGCAGTTCTAGCATTGAAGAAATATTCCACCCCAAACAAGATGATTTTGAAGAGATCAGTAGAAACTATGCTGCACGCCACGTTGTTCATTTGAGTACTGCAGCTGAAAAATCACCACCAAATCAAACACAACACAGTGAGGAGCGTAAAATCACCCCTATCTCCATAATTCCCGCCTCAGCCTTAAAACTTGTGGAGCATTCAACCCCTATAAAAGATCAGGTGACACCCGAACTTCCACCTCCTTTAATTTGCATAGATGACGACGAGGAATCCTGCCAAAGTTCAATCAAAGCAAATTATGAAGTAATCGATGTTGTTGATTCCCCTGAAATGCCGATTTTAACCCCTTTTTCATCCGATGATGAAGAAGTTCTGAAAATTAAACAAGAAGTCATCAGTGAAGATGAAGTAGAAAAAGCGGTTTCTAAGGAGGATCAGTTACTTTCTGAAGCTAGTGGAATGCGACAGCCTCAAGTTCTTCTACGGAGAATTTCTTTAGAGCAGTGTTTGCAATTCACGCCTGGAAGTAAAAACTCTTTTGCTGATGCGTCTTTGTTAAATAAAGCCAAGAATTCTTCCTTTGATGGTCCAGAAATTGAAGAAATCGAAGGTGTACGATTTTTCCAGTTTCGATCCAAGCAAGACATGGATGAATTTAACCGGAAACCAGAATTCGGTATCGAAGACCTTGATATGATACTTCCTACAAAAACGATGGATATAACTCAAATTAAGGGTTGGAGGGACAAGTATTTTGCATCTGAATCGCAGTTGCATTGTTTTCAACTTGATAGCAAGGAAAATGATTCCTTGATGTCGAGTTATACTTGTGAGAAAAAAGTACATGTGTGCCATGATGCCAGCTCTATGAATGTGGATAGCTCATTATGTGTGACTGATGAGGACGATTTTAAGAAATCGAATTTGGAAGACAGTAAAGTAGATACCAAATGTCTCAACAAATTAAATACAGAATCAAAATTTAAGTCTCAAAATGTTAGTAGTGAATCTAAAGATTTAAAGACTCAGTTGTCAGCATTTATTAGTGAAGATTTGGATAGCTTTTTGAAAACCAAATCAGAATTGCAAGTTAATTATTTACAGAGAATAAATCCGAATATTATGCCCATTCCACCAAATGCAGGTATTCTATCTTTGGGAAAGTTAAAGCAACCAGACAGACCTTTTCAATATCGAAACAGAAGATTTTTCCTGTATAAACCAAATCCAACGAATGTTGATGAGGTTAAAGATTCACCAAGAACTTCTGAAGTTAATGTTAGTTCGCCTGAAGTCATTTCTATGAATTCATCGGATCATAGTTCCAGTGACGACGATGATATTCCAGTTGCCAAATTGACCACTGTTAAAAGGAGAAAACTACGCCTAACTAGTTTGGACCTTGAGACATGTACTAAACGTCGAAAGAGTGACGAAAGTTCCGAGCAGTCCGAGAGACTTGTGCTCAGACTGACAAAAGAAAGTAAAGGAAGCTCAGAAGGTTATAAGATATCTGAAGGTTTTAACAAAAAATCTGATTTGTCTTCTTCGTCATCTTCCTCCGTTTCATCTACACCAGCATCATCACGTCCTCCATCACCTGCTCCACCCTCTTGTTCATCAGATGAAGAAGTCCCCGACGAATTCAAAAATGAGGGCAATGCTTCTAGTATCATTACAAGAAGCATTTTTGTTAAAAACGAGGAACCAAAACTACTGTCCGAATTTATAAAGAACCTAAATTTGTTAGGCACAAGCAAAGATGTAACTATGTTAGTGGAGTCAAATAAATCTTACTTTAAGGAAATTCCTATTTTAGATAAGACAACATGCAATGAAGCTCTCACTGCTCTTTTGTCTAATGATGAATTATTGCAGGTAAAGAAACCGAAGTCTAGAAGAAAACTTAAAACGTGGCAAAAGTATTTGCCTAAGAAGCTTACAACCAATCAAAAGCTAAAAATTTCTAAAACAAAAGAAGATAATCTGAATGCTGAAACAAGTGTAAACACTGCAAATATTAAAACAAGTGCATCTACAAATATTAAAACTACAAACAGCATCAAGAATACGAGGAAGAAAAAGCTTGATAATAACGTTATAATTGAAAATAATACGAGAGGTAAGCGATCTATTAAAGTCCCTCTTCGGTTTAAAGCAGGCGGTGATTGGGTTTCGCCAATTTTCGTCGATGATCCTAAAAAAACCCGCAAACAACTGTTAGAAGTTCCGCCTGTTGTCGTCGAGGACCCTAAGAAGACCAGAAAACAACTATTAGAAGTTCTTAATAAAGTAACAAACGACTCAAACAAACAACCTGAGAGCAGCACCATTAGGGAATCGATTGTAGATATTAGTACACCTTCCGAGCCGTGTTCCTTAATTCAAACTACCAAACAAAAATCACCCGGTGTGAAAGCAATCAAATCTGCCAAGGTAAATAATGTTAAGACACCTCCTAAATCTAAAGTCGAAACCCTTCAAAAATTAAAAAAAGTCCGAGGAAAAAAACTGACAGAAAAAAAAATTGAATTGACTAAATTTAAAACTCGTGAAGCAGAAACTGAACTAAGTTCTTCTAGTACTAGTTCTAGTCCTACTTCCAATTCATCGTCAGAAAGTGCAGACGAAAATGTGAGTCTGCTGAAGTGTACTTTTGATAACTTTCCTTATTATTTGCCTGCTTGTGCTTGCCTGCCTTGTTCAAGAACTGCTAGCTTTAATCATAAGTCAAAAGAATTAATTTGCTACAATGATCATTCATCCAAGTGCAGTGGATCCGAACCTAATCCGAATGCACTATTTAACCATACATTTTCCCATGAAGCAAGCGAACCTGTCAGACTTTCGATTCCTTGGAAAGAAAACGATTCTTCCGATTCTATACTGCAAATTTCGGAATCTATAATTAGCAATGGATTGCTTGTAAGCGAAGAGGTGAAAAACGCCATCTGCAACGAAGGCAGTTCTAGTGATATTAAAAGCAATAAAGATGCAGAAGTTGAAGAAAAATGCAACTCAAAGGTATTGCCCTTAGAAACGTTGCAACTGAAATCTTCTGACAACTCACCTGTAAGTGATAAGGTGGTGAAGCAGATTTCGAATTCTCAAACGAGTGTGTACAAATCACCTATGTATTTAACAAATGCTAACATACATCCTCTGCCTTCTCAGTTGCCAGTGCCTATATTACCTAAAACCTCGAATGTAATGCCTGTACCTATTATCCCTACAGCAAGTTCAAAAACAAGTTATTCCGGTGGTTTAGAATCCAACGTTATACTGCTTGTTCCGACTTATGCTCAAAAATCAACTTCTGACAATTCTGCTAATTGCACTCTTCAAAATAAACCGCCTGATGACCAAAGCTCTAAACCTAAGCCTACAATATTGCATCGAACACAATCTCCTTCCAATACCGAGTGCAACTCGCCAGTTAGTAGAGCAGTATTGAGAACTAATGTTCCTAAATTAGTTCAAGGAGCACACTTGCTGCGATTTGAAAATGGCCGACTTCTTTATTATCAACCTGAAAAGAAATCTAGTCCGATTGATAACTCCACTGGTGGTTCTTCAGTTTCTAATCCATCTGTGGAATCGAATATCTTGAAAGATATACTAAAAGGCGAAAATGTGAAATGTAACTATCCATTACACGATACCAAAGACAAGAAACAGACTGTCGAGGCAAAAGTTGGTGATAAGATTAATGATGAAATTCCTAAAAGAACTAACAAACGAGGTAGGACACGAAGGAAAAGTCCCATTATGAAGCGGTCATTGAATGATGGCGCCGATCTCGTCGTTGATGTAGAGACGGTGGATGAGAAATTTAATCCCCTTGAACAAGTATCATCGAATGATCGAGATCGGCTGCTTGACCCAGCCAAAGGTAACGATAGTGATTCCATTTTTACTTCGGACAATGCCAACGAAGTTAAAAGTTCGAAACAAAGACAAAATCAAAAGTATGCTTTGAGGAAAAACTTTGAAAGACTAAGAAATTCATCTGAGTTTTTCAAAGAGGCTTCCAGCTCTAAAGAAGTATTAGACAGGGTAAATATTTATTTTATATATTTAGCTTGCATTAATTTTTGTAATTTGTTTTTCAGAAATGCCAACAATTATGTATTTTATATTCGGCAATGAAATTGTGGAGAGCTTTTGAAGTAGATTTTTATTTTTTTAACAGCCTCCTACTTCGTTTCGTCAGTCCCACGAAAGGCGAAGTGGGGACCACCTAGATAACACAGCTTAGCTGCCTGCTTAAATTAATTTCTTTTGATTAATTTAATTATTTATATGAACTTATATGAGAGATTTTTGAAATTATGACCATTATTTCTAACACTAAGTTCTCATCAATTGAGCCTTGTTTTAGCAAATTACTTATTTCTTGACAAGGCAGAACGAAAACTATTAATATCTTCCAAATAAAGCATAAAATAGGGAAAGTACATAGAAAGTAGCTAATGTCTTTTTTTTTTTCCTCTTAATTTTTTTCACATTTCGATATTTTTAAAACTATGTTATTACGATACGCGAATTTCAAATTAGAGTTATCACTTTTTGAACTTCTCGATTTAACGACGATTCCATTACAAATCCTCATAAATCATCATTTTTTTTTCCTATTCATTTTCTTCAGCTCTATATCCATATGATTTTTTTAAAGTAGGTATTTTTAATAATCTAATATTGCGACCCCAGAAGTACGAATTTGAGTAATCACTTTTCGATGTACATGATTCAGTCATTAATTCACGTCGTTTTCTGATCATTATTATCTCTGCAGTTGTTTTACCTATTTTTTTTCCTGCATTTTTACATGCTCGTCGAAATTCCGATATTTTTAATACAATTTTATTACGATACTACGTTAAGTGAACTTCAAATTTGTGTAGTAATTTTTTGACGTACTCAATTCGCGACGATTCCGTCGTAGCCCTGTTCCGCTGTCTCTGGTTAAGTCGAATGAAACTAAGTTAAAAACGTTAGGACTAATAATCAAGAACTAATGAAGGTTTTATGTAAAATCCGTGCAAATTTCGACACGTATAACTTCATCTAAGATATATCTTTGAACCCTTATTGAGTCAACATTCATGAATGTTGGTCCAATAAGGGCCCAAATTATTTTGCTGCTAGGGGTGAGTAACGCTTCATAAAACGCAAATGCGAAGTAGTTTCCCATTCTCTGATAGTTGATTCAAAAATTTCGTCGCCTTTCGTTTTGAGTTAAGTTTAAACTTGCAAGGATATAGTTAAAAATGATTTTTATCATCATTAACGGTGAAAAAATTATTGTTGAAGAAATTTATAGCAGTAATTTAATTCACCTTTTGCGTACGTTGCTGACTTTTCATCCTAGGTACGTGCGCAAGATTTGAAGAGAAACGAGTAGCGCAATTTTCGCGTATATAGTTTAAAATGATAATTATATGTGAAAAAGTAATTTTGTGAAGGGTAATCCCTGCTCGTTTGTGTCAATTATTATTTTATTTGCATGTACAGATGTTCACGAGCAAAATCTATGTGGTTCCGCCGTTGAAAGGGCAGAAATACCATGCTTGTTTTTTGGTTTATGTTGGTTATGTATATGGATGTATGTTTTTTGGTTTAGTAAATTCAATTTATGTATATGGTTTTTACTCACCTCTACATCTGTATAATTCAAAAATTTATGTGTTACGTAATTTGTTACAGTTGAGCGTTATAAAAAGTTGACGAAATAAATAGAAAATCTGCGAATTTTCGTTTGTGATTCTCTAACGTTTTTTAAAATATTTTGTCAAAGTCAGAGTGACTGACACGTTGGCGTACGCAGAATTTTTTCAAGGGGGGTGTTCATAATTTTCTGAAACTACTAAAAGAAATTCGAGTCTGTAATAAAGCACTATTATTTCCCTAATTTAGACAGCTAGACAATTTTGACTTTTTATTTAGACAACATTGTTTAGTTAAATTTTGATTTGATTTTTTAAGTTTAAGAACATAATGTAATATCTTCTAAAAAAAGTCCAATGTCATNGTCCCTTGGCTTTTCGTCCAAATGAAACGAACTTTACTTTTCCCTTCCTTGGTGGTGTTTTTGCTTTACTTTCACTTGACTGACGTTTTGTCTAAGGGTCGTAGAGAAAGCGCCATGTCTCATCGACTGTTAAGATTTTCTTCAAGAAGCTGTCATCTTTATCAGCCATGTCAATCAAATTGCACATGTTTACTTTCACTTCTTTTTGTTCAGGTGATAACACTTTTGGAACCATGTGCAATCTAACACAATGCATGTTCCATCATGAAGAATTCTGTGGACACTCCCTTGTGAAATTCCATGTTCAGAGGCAATAGTATCAATGGATAATTGCTTATCCGCTAGCACGATTTCTCGAACGCGCTCAACATTTTCATCTGCGTTGGAAGAGAAGAGGTGACCAGTCCGAGGATCATCTGCAATGTTTGTGCGATCGAAAACCCTTATTCCACTCGTGCTCATCCATTTTTTTTTTTTTCATGGCATCTTTTCCACTTGCTTATTTGAGCATTTCGATCGTCTCGGGAGATTTCCTGAATTTTCTTCAGGAGAAACCAGAATTTTATGTTTTCGTGCTGCTCTAAAAATAACATTTCAAAGTTCGATGAATGAAAAATTAGCTTTGCCAGAAATGACCTGCAGCTAATGTCGTTAGTACCAGAAATAAATTTATGGTGACTGTGTGCTTTTGTTATTTAGTGCTGCCAAACGCTAAAAAAAATATTCCCCCACCAACGAGCACCCACGTGAATGTAGGCGACCATTTCGGGAAATTTACTGACTGTACCTCCTCGTAAGCAACCGCGTCACATTAAAACGCCTAAAATATCAACGTTTCAAACTTTATAATCTTCGTTATTTTATGACCTTCGTTGTTATATCGTGAATTCGGTTCTATTGCAATTTATTTACCTATTGAACATCCGCGATATATCGGAAAGCTACTTTCGTTCTTATCTTAAACAGATATCTTTTCCTGTTTCAAAAATGATTCAAAATAAAAAATTCTTTTAAAAATTGCGCTGAAGTTTTTTTTTATTTATTTTTTTTTATTTTTATTTTATTCCAAACAATAATGTTAATAGAACTTTTCAGACAAAATTAGATTCTTCTTCTTTAATGTTAACTTCTGGAGATAATATTAGCGCTCTTTCCTTACTTATTAATTATAATTTTTGAGTATTTTTTCTTTTAATTTTATACATTAAATTGCATCCTCTTGGAAAATCTATGTACCAAATTTTTAAATTTTTAGGTTCTAAGTCTTTTTAAAACTTAATAGAGTTATTTTAAAAACATATTTTGTTGCCAAAATTATTTCAATAGTAATTTTAAAAATCTTAAAATTTCAAATTTGGTTGCTTAATTACAGAGCTGTGGAGTAGTTAAGGAAAATGATCCACTCTGACTACTAAGAATTTTAAAGCTCACTGTAGTAATTTCTCAGAAGCAATATCTTCTTTATAGAGGACTTAAGATTCGATTTGATAAATTTCAGAACTGAGAATAGTCTTTTTGCAGTAACTTGAGAAGGAGGAAGAGCTGTTACTATTAGGTCAATTTCTTTTAACTTTTCAAGGCAGTAATTTCTCAGAAGCAGTATAGCTTCTGCAATATCTTCTTTGTTAGAGGACTTAAGATTCGATTTGATAAATTACAGAACTGAAAATAGTCTTTTTACAGTAACTTGAGAAGGAGGAAGAGCTGTTACTATTAGGTTAATTTCTTTTAACTTTTCAAGGCAGTAATTTCTCAGAAGCAGTATAGATTCTGCAATATCTTCTTTGTTAGAGGACTTAAGATTCGATTTGATGAATTTCAGAACTGAGAATAGTCTTTTTGCAGTAACTTGAGTAGGAGGAACAGCTGTTACTGTTAGGCCAATTTCTTTTAACTTTTAAGGATAGATTTGTTTAGGTGCCTTGCAATAGCTTATTACTCTATTTCAAGGGCTGTGTTGAAATCTTTTTTATTTTTTTTAATGTCCTAATAGTGGCGACGACNTTTTTTTTTTTTTTTTTTTAATATTTATTTGTCCTTTTCAATATTTCAAAATCTGACTCATCAATGGAAGATGATGAAAGAGACTCAGTTGTAATATCTGCAGTCTGAATACTCCTATCCACATTTTTCTAAGGAATCGCTTCTGACTCCTCTAACCCAAAAATCTATCCAACTCAGATTCCTTGACTCCAACTCCACAAACATGCTAAATTCGTATTGTAATAAATAAAATTTATGAAAATTATTATAAAATACTAGTTAATTAATAATTGAATGCATTGGTGTGTTTCTCTAAAAGTTTACATGAAAGAAGTAGAATCCTTTTTCTGTATGAAGAGAATACAATTGATTGTATGTCTCTGTAGGACTACTGTTATCACTATAAAAATATAGCAGTTTTTTTTAAAAAGTGCTTAAAGGTGCTAATTTTCAATTTTCATTATATAAAACCATGATCTTTAAATTAACTTAAGGGTCCATTCACTAAGAACATATTTTCATGTTGATCCTCAGAGCAGTCAAGAACCACAAAACTTCATGACCTCAAAATTTCCATCTCCCTTTTATTCATTTAATTTAATAAGGATAAGAATTAATTGAGTTTCCTAATCGTAAATTTTTATCTGAGGGATCATCCAATAATTGCGTATTGTTTTTAAACATTTATTTGAATTTATTATTTTTTTTTTTTACTTATTGCATTTTATTATTGTATTATTACTTTCAAAATTTCCAGTGCTCTTAATTCGTTTTAGGAAAATATATTTAGAGGCAAGATTTTATATAAGTATGAAGAGAGGGGCTTCAATATTTTAAATGCAGCAAAAAATCTTATGTTTTTCAGATTTGTCATTCAAAAATTCAAAAATACTTTAATTCATCTCTTAATGATTTGATTTAAAACAATTGATATAATTTTTTTTAATTATCACAGATTTATTTGCTAGGCACCTGGCAAAAACACTATTTTGTTACCAAAATATCAATTATTTTCACATAGCGTTTTTTGTAGGTAAGAAAAGTACAAAAATGAATACTCAATATTTTTATCAGGAAATTAATATTTTATTTTTGAAGAGAAAGCAGCTCTACAAGTTGCTTGATCATGGTTTCATTGGTATAACAAGAAAGATATTCACTCCAATCCAAATCTTCCTAAAGATTGCAACTAATTGCGAAAACATTTGATGTTTGTAGGTTCTTTTGTTCAATTTATCATAATTATGATTTTTATAAAATTTGAACTTGTTAGAAGTATTTATTCTGTTTTCTAGGCTTTGTATGCAATAAGGAAATATAAGAAAAGAGAACAAGCATTGCGCGTGATGAAGCATAGGTTACGAATACATAATACTCGCCTATTGGGAAAATTCCTACTCTGTTTGCAGGGTAAGTTGTGTTACTTGTTTCAATTTTTTATGATACTCATTTTGAATACCAGCAATGGCTGGTTGATACGAATTCCGCAACTGGCTTGCACAGACCACAGTGCTGACGTAAAATATCATCAGTGGTAGACTGATCATGGGTTATAGTTCCCTTGCCATCAGGCTAATACTTTGAAGTTTTCGTGGTTTTTATCTCTGTGTAACTCAAATGCTGATTAGTTCCATCAAGAAGTACTCTCTGATGGCAAATTTCTCCCGATACTTGATTCAGGAGTTCCCTTGCCTTCTGGATTGGGTTCAAAATTACAAGGCTATGGAGTTGAACATTGGGCTGTTCAACGAGGGTTATAAAATATAAAAAATTTATACCAGTAAGGGCTGTCGTGGCTCAGGGGATAGAGTCGCCTCCCAATGAAGTAAACCGGATTTGAATACCAGTGAAGGCTGGTTGATACGAATTCTGCTCGCGGCTCACACAGACCACGGTGCTGACTTAAAATATCCTCATTTGTAGGCAAGTCCCTTTGCCATTAGGCTAACAGTGGAGGATTTCGTTATTTTCCTCTCTATGTAACACAAATTCGGATTAGTTCCATTAAAAAGTCCTTTACGAAGGCGAATTTCTTCCAATGCTTGATCCAGGAGTTCCCTTGTCTTCTGGATTTTGTTCAAAATTACAAAGCTGCAGAATTGAACATTAGTAGCCGTAAACTCGAAAATGGATCGTCTGTTCAACAATGGTTATAAAATAAAATAAAATGATACTAGTAAAAATTAATCATTTCATAATGAAAACAAAATATGTGTGTATAACTGTGAATATGTGTGTATGAAATCAATTTTTTTTTACTGTAAGGAAATAACCCTTTTTTGGTATTTGTATGTTATGACTTTACATATTGTTCTTAATTATTAACCTGCAAAACAAAGAGAATATACCATCTCAAATTCAAAAATTAGAACTTGATCTAATAATGCTTAATTCTCTGCTTCTGCTTACTAATGTTTTTTTCTTCTTATTTGTCAATTAAAAGAAAAAAAATATCGTTTTGAGCTTTTATTCTTTTGAATAAACTTAAAAGAAAATAAATCTTTTTTGAATTATCAGTATCTTCTGATTTTTCATAACACTGCTCTTCGTGATTAACATGTAAAATGAAGAGTATAGTGTATAATAAAATAATGATTTTTCTTGATCTAGTAATGCATGAATATGAAATATCAATATGCTACTTATGCTATGTTCACATCATGTTAAGTCAATAAAAACAACAAAAAAATTTTTTCATTGTTTTAAATAAAGGTAAATTATTAATACTCTTTTGGGGAAATAAACATCTTTTTTCATTATTAGTATATTCTGATTTTTCTTAATATTGCTCTTGATAATTAACATGTAAAATCAAGTGAATATTATATAGTAAAATCAAAAATTAGTACTTGATCCAATAATGCTTAAGGCTGCTCTCTTACTGTTTGCTAATGCTACTTTTACCCTATGTCAAAAAAAATAAATGAATAAAAAAGTGGTTGAATATCTTATATTACAGCCTTAAGGGTTTAGTTTTCAAATAACTATGCATTACAGGGGTCTGTATAGAAGAAATTTGGGTCCGTTAACGGACCTTTCACAAAATATCTTTTCATAAAAACGGACCCTTTACAAAATATTTTAACTTAAAAACGGACCCTTCACGAATTTATTTATCTTCATTATTGTTTTGTTAATCAAATAAACCCTTCCCATGAAGGGGTGGGGGAAGACAGATGTAAACGAACTAAATTTTGTCTTCGGCAGACAGTTCTTCCTTTATTCGTCCGAAATGAATATTCTGCATTCAGCTTCAGCAGTATAGGCTAAATACCAAATATTTGTATGTTGCATCGCTAATTTAATAGCTGCAATTGCTGTTTATTTTTTAAAATTAAATTGTTTTAATTATAATTTTACAGTGTTGAGCATAATCTTGTATGTCTTTACAATTTAAAAACTCCTTGAAAAACTTTTTTTGCAATAAGGGACCCTATTTTCACAAATTCATAAAAGCGGACCCTGGTTGAAAGAATGTGACTTAATGTTTATTTTATATTCACAAATTACGAGTAATTTTTTCACAATTTTGACCTTGTGAAAACCTGACTTTTCACAAAACTGACCTTTCACAAAATGTCTGGACAGACCCCTGCAATATCAATAGTCTTTTGAGAAAATAAACATTTTCTTCTATTATTGATATATTCTGATTTTTTGTAATCTTATTCTTGGAAAACATCCTAAAAAATCCCGATCAAATAATCTCAAAATCTGAAATTAATACTTTATCTAGTAATGCTTAAGGCTGCTCTATTCCTGCTTACTATCCCTACTTTTAGCTAATGTTTAAGTCAAGAAGAAGAGAAAAACGTTCTAGGCTTTGAGCCTTTAGTTGTTGAATAAACTGTCTCGAATAACTCTTTTAGAAAAATAAGTAGTATTGCAGCCATAAATTGAAATTATATAGCATTTAAAAATAATGTTAGAACTAACAAATTTTAATTTTTATTTTAATTCTTATTAAGTTATCATTAAGTTACAGAAACTCTTTAGGGATATTTAGAATATCTTCATCTTCTCCTGATTTTAGGTATTAAAGATACAAACGTTAGGAATTTAGCTAAAAAGCAAGTTATCAAGAATCTAGCTCATGATTGGGTGAAACAAACGTTGATTCATCAGAAAAAATTTCCAGATGAACCTCCTAAAAAACGTAGAAAGGCATCCAATAAAGCTCCTGGCAGTGGTACTATATTTTTGTTTGATTTTGGTTTTAATAATTTAAGCTAAGAGAAAACATTTCTAGATATTTATAAATTACATAGACACAAAGAGATGTGGTTGTTATTTGAACTAAACAAAGCAGTATGTTGAATCATTTGAAAGATTTTGTGCTTATAAAATTAATGCAGGTTTTTAAGCATAGTTTGAAGGTATTTCTTATAAATTAAGTGACATATTTTAAGTCAATCAAAAATAATTTTTTGCGATGTCAACTAGAAAAGTTAATCGTTTATTAATTTATACACGATTTACATTCGGCAAGAAGTTTAGTAAATACCATTGTAAGAATACTTTTTCTTTGAATTTTGCATATTTTAAGGTTTTAATAGTTTTCCTAAATTTTGGTTTGCCTCTCTGAAGTTTTATAAGCTTTTAATTTTTTCAATTGAGGATTTTTTCAAACAGAATTTTCTAAACTAACATTAAATACTGGAGTATTAATAATTTTTAGTAGTAGGTAATATAAAAAATCTTGGAAAAATAGAGATTTGGGCAATGATTACTTAATTTTATATACCAAATCACAAGAATATGAATTAAAATTGATTTAGTTAAAAAGTTTTTTTTTCAAATACTTTTATATTCATTCCAACTTAAACAAAGAGATGAAAAATGTGACCATTACAATGTTAGTGACATCAGTGTATATTGATTATTTCAGTGAGAAATAACAATTATTTCCTGAATAACGAAAACTGTTCTGGATATGATTGTTATTGCGTATTTAGAATAAAATAAATAAGATCTTTATATTTTATCGATTCATGAAATGTTAAAAATATCATTATTAAAATTCAGTAAAAGCTTGACTATCCAGAAATTCTCAATGTTAAATCACTCTGTGTCTCTTTTTTTCTAATTTAACTTATTTTCCAGGAAATTAAATTGTAAATAAAAAATTTTAATAAGAAATCAAAAAAGAAAAAACATTGGAAACAAAATTGTCATAATTCTGTACTCTCATTTAATTGTTAATTGTTTAAATAATTTATCACTAAAATTCTGTGTGTTCCTTATTTAAGTATATGCTGGAAAGTATGCCACTCCTTAAATAAATAATCATTTCACAAATCAGAGTCTTGTTACTGTATAAAATAAGTCTTATTTAAACTTCTATTAAAAATGGGTGGGGGATTGCTTGAATGCTTACACCATATTGATATTTAATTCATATTCCTGTTAATAAAAAAAAAACATTTGTAAATTATTTTATGGTTTTATTTTTTTTATTACTTATTGTTTAAAAATTTATCACTAGACAAACATTTTTAACAGGTTTATAGAATTCAAGAAGATGCCTCAATGAAGCATGTATATGAGTTGTGTATATGAAGTTTTGTCCAAAATCAATTTTCCAAAACAAATTTTAGCTTTTATTTAATCTTGATTTTTAATCGTTATTACAATTAAAATATTCTGATTCATCTGAAGTTATCGTATAAGAGGAAATGCTACCTGCAATACAAGAAATTTTTTTAACCCTCGTAAAAAAATGGATAAAACAGCTCCAAAATAATTTTTTTGTCGTGTGTTTGAACAGACCAGCATTTATAACTGATCATTAAAATGTTTAAATATTAATAAAGCTTACTGTAGAATACTAATTATCTTAAAGATCAGGGGTAAGTCATAAAATTAAAATTGTCATGTAAGTGAGGATGTTTCATTAAGTATATAAGAATCAAGTAGTGATTTAAAAATTGAAATTTATTCTAAAAAATCATAAAGTTAGAAAAATTTTTTGAATGAAGAGACCCTTCGGATTTTGTTTCATATAATTTGAGAGATGTAATGGACAGTCAAAATTATATAAATCTCCATGTTTTCATGTTATTCTTACTATTGATAATACTGTTTTTTATACCTTTATACTTGTTAATCTTAACTTTTTCTTCAGATTATGAAGCTCACATGAAAAGTCAATCAAATGATTCTGCTGAAAGTAAAGCTTCAGCGACGAGCTCCATTTGCGTTGATGCCGTTCAAAGTGCAAAACCTTCTCTATCAATCGATGGTAAAGTCCTTTCTTTTTTTAATGCAGTTAATATAAAAATTTGATTTTTACCTGCAGGAAACTGTTTTAGCAGAATGACTCCTGAAATAAAAAAGCGACTCTGTCTGGCAAGTAGGGCTGTCTTAACTGGCTGAGAAGATTTATTAAATCTAGGTTTCTTTCAAGAAAAACAAAGTTTTTAATCTATAAAATTGTTGTGAGGCCAGTCTTGACATATGCTTCTGAAACTTGGACAACGACAATACTGTAAGAAAATTGTATCGCAATATTTGAGAGGAAGATTTTGCAGAGTATACTTATTGATGTAAATGAAAACATTAACTGGTGAAGGAGATTTAACTTTGAACTGTGCAAATTTTATAAACTACCCAATATTATTAAATACATAAAAACAAATAGAATGAATTGGATGGCCCAGGTGATTCGAATGAGTGATGACAATACAATATAAAGGATACTGCTTTTTAGACCCACTGGAACACGAAAGCGGGGAAGGCCGCGGTTGAGATGGGCTGACTCACTGGAATCTGATTTTCTTTGCAACTAATGAAAAGAATTGGATATGAAACATAAATCGGAAGTTTTTATGGAGAAATTTCCAAAGGAAGGAATTTGGCTGTCTGGCCAACTATGATGATGCTGTTTTTTAACATTCGTGATAGATTACAAGAAGTTTTTTTTCAATCTTATTTCTTGAATTTCATAATTATAATTTCGTTTAAGCTTATAACTTGTTGCAATTATTTTAGAGTGTTTGAAGTAACAAAATTTTTATTAACCATTTATAGGATTAGTAGTTCCTGATATTTCTACTTTTTTTTTTATTTATTTATTTATTTATTTTTTTTTTCGGTATTTCTAAAAATGCAATGTTCTATTTTCTAAGAATGTAGCTTTAATTTCATAATTATTTATTATAAGCATCTAACTTGCTGGAATTATTTTAGAGAGATCGAAGCAACAAAATTTTAATTGATATAATTAACGTGAATTACCCAATTAACTCTGAGCGCTAATTCTGACTTTTCCAAACTTGTAGATGTAGACTTTCCTGCATCAAAAAATCAGTTGCTGTGTAAGTGATGTGTGGCAGGAAAGTTCTGTACATTTTTACGTGGAGGCTCAATGCTTAGAATGTAAATTTTTAAAAGCTTTAATTCCTTTGAAGTTTTACAAGAATTATAATTCTTTTGAAACAGGAATTTTCCATAAATAAAAGCATTTCTCTCAAGTTTTCATCAGTAATTTCGTAAAAATCTATTTATTTTCCTTAAAATATATAGATTTTAAGGATAATTCATTCGAGTTTTCAAATTTTATCCTGATAAAAAAGATTCGCTTTGTTTTATGATTTAATTCATAGATTTAAAATTTAGCAAATGTATGTGACATGAATATACAATTTTTTTTTCTCTCTAAAATCTATCTTTTTGTAGTTTCACAGATGCAATACAATGTGGATATTGAGCCACAAATGGATTTTGAAGTTTCAGAAGAACCACAGGCTGATTTTGAAATGTTCAAAGACTTCCAAGTGGACTATGCTGCAAAAGCTAAAATTTCTAGGACCGAAAATAAAAAAAAATCTAGTGAAAAAGACACTAATTCTAACAAAATCCAAACAAGTGTAAATAGTATAGATAAACCTAGTGTAAAAAGAGAGATTCAAGAGGAAAACTGTAAAGAAGTTCTTAAATTACATTCTAGTCCTTCTAAAGAATTTAGAACTTCTGAATTTGAAAATAAACTAGAAAGTGTTTCAAGTACATGCCCCAGTCAAATATTTGAAGGTAAATAAATATATATCTTTTATTCTTGTATTTATAATATCTTTTTATATTTGTAAATTTAATGTTATCACTTTTCTTTTGTTAATGTTGCAAATTTTAATGAACATGTAGTTTTTAACAACAAACTTGTTATTTTTATATTATATTTGTTATTATTGTAGATATTTTTTAAATTATGCATGTTTTTAATTGTTATTTTGTCTCCAAAATTTACTCTCATTTAGTACATTATTAATATAGCATAATTTTAAAACTGTTCATTAATCTAAAATTAAACTCTGAGCATTTTATTTTGAAACAATGGTTGTAAAATTTTTGTAAGTTTGATTTTTTTTCTCATTTTTCTGTGCAATTAATTAATTTTATGTAGGAAAAACAACATGTATATTTATTAGTGCTTTTAATTGAATTATTCTTAATAATGTATTCTATTCAAATTATTCATTAAATTAAAATTTAAACTCAATATATTTTATTTTGGAAAAGTATGGGGTTATACTGAGGCCAATCCTGCATTTGATTATTTCACACTTTTTTCTGTTTAATTCATTAATGTTATGAAGAAGAAGGAAAAAAAACAAGTATATTTACTTATTTTAGTGCTCGTATTGAATAATTTAAACACCATTCCACACAAAATGTAAAAATAATTGATCTTCTGGACATGATTATCTTGCTAAGCTTATACTACACTAACATTTATAATAGACCCTGCATTTTGTGCAAGCAGTGAGGAAATGAACTAAAACCATTCAGCAAAAGTTCTTTCGTTGAAAAGAAAACATTTATACTTGATATTGGGAGGCAAGTGTGTTTTACAGTTCTTGTTTTGATGTGTTTATTGGGTACTTGCACTTCAAGAAGACCATGGATACCCACACACATGACCTATGATATTAGTGCTAGCTGATCCAGTGTTTTCACTACAACGCGAAAATCTCGCATATTTTTTTCTTTTCTCGCAATAAAAAATTATTAATGCGAGAAGTTCGCGCACTCTATTAATCAATTCAAAATGTGTGAAAAATTTCGTCTTTTGCCATTTTGAATAAAATCTGTTTCGCTTTTCTTCCTTGATCTTTCATTATTTTGAACATCGGTCCGGTCCTTGTTATCTTTCAGTATTGTTCAGAACCGGTGCGAACAGCTGAACACCTACCCCAAACCACAGAACCCCTTTCAGAACACATTTCTTTGCAACCACGTGTTCACCGTAGGTAACAGGGTTGCCACTCCACAGGAAGAACAGGGAAAACCTGGAAAATACAGGGAATTTAAAAATCACCTAAAATAACAGGAAAAATACAGGGAATTTGGATTTTTTTCTTTACAAACTGGGAAAATACAGGGAATTTTGTTTCTATCTTTTGTCTTTTAAAAAATGGTGCTTACTCAAAGCGTAATCTATAGGATATTTAACCATGATATTTCAGCTATACTAAACTATTTCATTTACTATAGCATTATTTAAGTATGTTCAGCTGTTTTTCTTGCAATTAAAACTAATATATATAGTTAGCTCACGCAAGAGCTCAGTAATTGTTGTTTCCTCTTAATATATCGCTTATAATAATATGTACAGGGAAAACACAGGGAATTTTTTTTTCAGATTTGAGTGGCCACCCTGGGTAAGGTTTCTTCATGTAAGACGTTTAAATTTTTTGTGCATGAATGTAAATACCTTGTTAAGGCGACATCTTCTACTCCGTAGCGGACAAATGAAAATGAAACAAATGTTGGTAGAAACGATCAAAACGAAATAAATACGGATATTTTTCAGCCAAATAAATATAATAGCTGATTAAAAAGTAGATATAGAACATTTTCCATATGATGATGCAGCAAAAATATTCAATTAGAAGATGTTAAAAATGTATTATAATTAAAGAATTAATTATTTTTTTATTAATTATAAAGAATAATTAATTTTTTTTCCAAGTCTATTTTGTGTTTTTTTAATTTTTAGATATCTCACTTAATTTTTGAAATCTCACCCTGTTTTTGGGAAAGGGTGAGAAATTCTCTCCCTTTTATTTTCTATAATGAAAACACTGTGATCGTTTATAAGCAAAATGTTGTGTTAAAGTTGGGCTAAGTTACTTCATATAAGTTAGAATGTCGTTTAAAGTGAAGCTAATTAAATACAATGCTGTATCGCACATCAAATTTGTTGAAATCTAATTCCATCTCGTCTACGTTTTTTACTTAACTTAGATTTATTATTTGTTTAAGTATTTTATTGTAACTGTGATATACTATTGTTTTGTGTACCTGCCAACTTTGATGCATAATAGGTTGTTTATGTTCTACATGGCTTCGAGCCCATCTTCACGTTTTAATGAGAAATATATAGTGAAGGAATTGAAATCTTTGTGAAAGAATATAGAATATGTCACTTAAAAGAATTGATACTTGGCGTGCTTGGCTTACTCGAAATAGAATGGAAAGAGCAGTTGCTAATGTAAACAAATGCCATGTTTCAGCAACCAATCAAGATACCCACACTAAGTCGCTTGCAGTTATCCTATTGTTATTATGAAGTTTGTTGCTGTATATATATATAATTTTTTACGGCTTTTAACATTAGAGATAAATTAGTTTTATTTAAATAACTCATAACTACACTAAATAAAAAGTCAAAGGGTTTGATCAAAATAAGTTTCACTGTAACTTTGAAAGTTCTATCAGAATTTCTTTCTCTAGTTTCAGATTAGATTTGTGCGGAATCTTTCTATTAACTTGATAACATTTCATTGCTTACCAAAATAAATTCCTAATAATTATGGCACTGAACTGTCATAGTCGGGAACTATTCCAACCATAAATTTTATATTTTTTGTCAATAATTATGTTTTTGAAGTTCAGTTGTGAAAAAGAAAATTATTCAGATTTCCCATTTCATTTTTGACAAGCATTTATATGGTAAAAATAATTAATTCAATAAATGAAAAGCAAATAATATTTTTAGTAATCTTGTGAAACTCCTAGAGTTATTGCTATTTCTCATAATTAGTTTGAAAACAAAGTTCTAGTTATGTTATTTTGAAACTATTTTATACATCAGATACTATATTTTCTATATCCTTTATGTTAAACAGGTTATCCGCGCACCTGGAAAGTCATGAATTTTGGTATTGAACAAAATTTGTCATGAAATGTCATAATTTTAACTATAGGGGAAATTCACGTCATTCTG